CTGAACTCCAAGCTCTCCTGTCCTGTTCCTCCAAGTCCTGGTCACCCAGATGGGGGGTGCTCCTGCACCTCTTCTCCCCCACAGGAGACCCTAAAACTCTGCAGTTCCTTGCCAACGGGAAGAAGTTTAGAGGCTGGCGGCAGCAGGCATTTTAAAGAACTGGAGGCAGGAGGAGGCAGGGGATCAGTGCAAAGAATGGGTCAACATGGATGGAGATGGGCGTACCCAATACTGGGCCTCCACAAGTTCTTGATAAAGTCACCACGGGCCTGCCAAGAGGAGCTACAAGGAACTCTGCCAGGTGACACCTGATGGAACCTGGGCTTAACCCTAGATCCATCCAACTCCAAACTCCTGGCTCTTCCCAGTGGGCAGCCCAGCTCCAGTGCCAAGGCTCGGCAGACAGGCACATCTGTGCAGTATTAAGTGGCTGCTTCCCATGGCCATTCCTTTCTCCTGCTGCGCCATGGATGCAGTCAGTGACGATGGAATGAATCTGGGTTAGCCGGTCCCTCTTCCCAAGCAGCTGGGAAGCCTCCTTGCTGCTCCTATGAGAACACGCTTTGCAGGGGGAGGACAAACTCCCACTTAACACCACTGCACTGTGGGCGCCATTTCTCCCGGGACAGCCGCATCTTGCTTTTTCCCTTTGGGCAGTGTTTTGCAGATGATCTAGTGTTACACGGCGCAGGGACTGTGAGGCAGCCGGCACGAGAAAGGAGACCGAGCACACCCACTTTGCCTTCATTCCTCCAGCTGCATCCGAGGCTCCCCAGAAGGGCCGGCGCGCGCCGGGGCGCACACTCGCACACCTGCCTGCGCGCACACACCCGCGCCTGGCCCCGCGCGCGCACGTCCCGCGACCTCGCAGGTTCGCGGCCCGCAATGGTCAGGGCAGGAGCTTCCACCAATCCCCTCGCCTCACGCCTCCTGCCCAAATATAGAAACCGACTTCCTTGCCCTAGAGCTCGGAGCGCCGGCCGCCCTCCCTCACTGGGCTCCCGAGGCGGCGCTTCCCAGGCAGGCGCGGGGACGGCCCTGTCTGGCCTCGCCAGCACGTGGGGCGCTGCCAGCGCTCCAGCCGCGGCACCCTGGCGCCCTGGCACCGACCGCCCAGTCGCCTCTCTCCCGGACGCGCAGCCCCTCGGCCAGCGGGCCCTGTCCCCACCCAGGTTCTCTGGCCGCTCAGTAGCAGCGCCTCGCCCCGGGACAGGCCCCACCTGGAGAGGAGCTGACTGACATTGATCGTGCCCCCTGGGGGCTGGGACGCTTTGAAGGTAACCTTGAAACCTCACAGGCACATGGAGGTGTCAAGGAGGAACTGATGACCTATCTTACAGGTAAGAAAGCTGAGCTAAGTGAGTAGTCCCAGGTTCGCACAACCAGTACTTAATACTCAGCCGACCCCAGCCTGGCCTGTCCAAGTCAGAAACCTACACGCTGTCCTTCACACCACTAAAGGGCTCTGGTTTCCAGCCTGAAGGCTGGAGAATGCACAAGGAAGGGAATGCCTAAAATCCCCTGACCTGATCCTCATCGCCCGTGTCATGTTTATTAAGACACCGAGATGAAGATGAAAGGTTTGTTGGGGAATGGTAACCCCTCATCTGGCTGCACTACTTTTAACTTTTCGGAGCAGTTTGCAGACGTTATCTCATCTATTCTTACCATGTGTGAGGGGATTGGATGGATTTGGTAGAATTTGTTCGTTTTAATAAAGGCCATTTAATCAATGTAAAACCAAAAGGGATTTCATGGAAAAACTCATATTTTCAAATTTGCTACTCAGGATAACTTCTGTGACCATTTTCAAAAAAAAAAGACTTATGGGCTGAGCACAGTGGGTCACACCTGTAATCCCAGTGCTTTGGGAGGCTGAGGCAGGAGGATTGCTTGAGGCTGGGAGTTCAAAGCCAGATGGGCCACACAGTGAGACCCAGTAGTTATGAAAAAAAATAATAATTAAAAATATTTGTTATGGAACTTCCACACTGTCATAGAAGGGACCTGGGAAAGAAATCACCATTCCACAGGGCAGGTGAGAAGGGCGGGACCCGCTGGAGAAGCACACATCCTGGTCCAGACCGTGGCCTCCTAACCACCAGTCTCGTGCTCCAGGCTGGGGCGAGGAGCAGGCTCACGGTGGCCGGCAGGCCGCTGATGGTGGGAGATGTGTGTTGGGGATGCAGGCAACAGCCCTCCTTTCCAGCTGAGACCCTGGGCGAGTTGCTGAATTCCTCCAGGGTCTCCACTACCCCATCTAGGAAATGACGCTCATAGTGCCCTAGCTGCAAGACTGTGGTGTCAATTGTTTGACACCACATTGTTTTGTTGGATATACACTTACGGAGCACCAACTGTGTGCCAAGCACTCCTCCAGATTCTGGAAATCTAGTTCAGGAGACAGAAAAAGTCGCTGCTTTCACAGAATTTATTTTTTAGTGGAGGAAGAGAGAGACGGACAATAAAACAGAAATAAATAGGACCATTCCAGATAGTGAAGAAAATGAAACAAAATGATGTGATAAAGCAGGTGGATGGGAGCTGGGCGGGGGCGAAGTGGCCACTGGAGAGCAGTTGTCTGGGCGGTTCTCTCTGAGGAAGCAACATCTGAGCTAAGGACAACAAAAAGGAGTGGAGTAGCTTCGTTCATGGCTGTGGAGAAGACAGGGACAGCCTGAAGCACAAAGGCCTGAAGACAGGAGCAGGTAGACGTGCCTGAGGAACAGAGCTAAGGCGAGTAGGGCTGGGGCCGTGTAAGGGAGAGGACAGGGACAGGAGGCTGGGACCTGGGCAGGAAGGCTGGACACACAGCCTGGCACCCAGCAGAAGGTCAGTGACTAGGCTATTGGGATTCCCGGAAAACAGTCAACTGAAAGCACGTGCATGAACATTCTGGAAGGTGGCAGAGTCCATAGCAGTACCAGACACCCACTTTTCTCAAACCCGTTATGTGACTTACCAAACCATCCCAAATGTCATCGGCAACAATAACAAAAACTAATAGAGAATTGAGTCCGGGCCAGTTCTGGAGAGTTGGGGTGGCTCTTCCTCTCTACCCTCACCAGGAAGACGGTACCCGAAGGTTTACTCTGCATCCAGCCTGCTGCCCCGCCCTGGGCAGGGGACAGACACACCCCTACATCTTCAAGCTCACCTCTCATATATGGTCCCTGCCCGCACAGGGACTAAGTCCAGAGGCAAAGGTGGAAGGAACAGCAGTAGCCAGCTGACTTGGCCTTCTCGCCAGAAGCCACATGGAAATTACACCTTTAGACAGGTTCCGAGGGAGTTGTTTACAAAAAGCTCCTCTGGACATCCCAGTAGCCATGGTCAAGATCAAATTGCACTCAAGGTTAATTGGATAGAAAAATACAAGTGCTAGCCCAGGAAGATGATCTTACAGCCAGGACTGGCTATTTAATTTGCATAGCCCAGGACAAAATGAAAATGTGGGACCCCTCCTTAAAAAAACAATGAGTAATTTTAACACAGAACAGAGCATTGAAACAAGCACAGGACCCTTTTAAGGACAGGACCTTATGTAACTGGACAGGTTGTCGACTGATAAAGCCAGCCTTGCCTACATGTCAAAAAAATACAAGAGGGGCCAGGTGCGGTGGCTCATGCCGATAATCTCAGCACTTTGGGAGGCTGAAGCAGACGGATCACTTGAGGTCAGGAGTTCGAGACCAGCCTGGCCAACATGGTGAAACCCCATCTCTACTGAAAACACAAAAATTAGCCAGGCATGGTGGTAGATGCCTGTAATCCCAGCTACTCAGGAGGGTGAAGCAGGAGAATTGCTTGAGTCTGGGAGACAGAGTTGCAGTGAGCTGAGATTGCGCCACTGCATTTCAGCCTGGAAGACAAAGCGAGACTCAGTCTCAAAAATAAAAAATAAAAATTGAAAAATTGAAAAAAAAGCGTGACAATGTGTTTAAAATATAGCCCAGTGGAATAGAAGCCATAGAGAAATCAGACATGTGTTCCTGTCTTAGCTCTGCCTCCCGAGAGCCGTGACCTGGGGAATGTAAGTTAATCAGTGGGGACCCCAGCTTCCCAGTCCGGAAAATCAGGGATCACCTCCTCGGGGGTTGCTGCCCTTCTGAGTTTGTTGTGAGAGATTGAATGAGATCACGAAGGTGGCGTCTGGGTCGGGAGGCACTACACCAATGTAAGGGATTACTATTATTCACCAAGACCTGCCAGAGCGCCTGGATTTCTCAAGAACATTGACATTCCCCAGCAATTAAGTCAAATTAACATAATTCAAACAAAACATCTAATTTTAGCTATGTGTAACGATTCCCTCTCAACAGAACAGGCACTGCTGCCTCTCATTCAAGGAGTGCAATGCCAGAGAGATGTAGGAAGGAGACCAAACCATTCTGCCACAGGCCTTTTACCCAGGCAGGCGCCAGATTGTTCCTGTTTCCACAACTGAAAGATGTGCCGCTGGACAGATTCTCTTTCATCCAGCCGTCCTGCTGGCCCAGTTCATTGGAGCTTCCCCCGACTGAGAAGGACCAACAACCAGCACAGCCCCGCTCAGACCTTGGTCACAGCAACACTCCCGCTGGAGTAGGAATCAGAAGCCCTGGGGCTCCTCCCACAGACCAGTCCTATGGCCTCAGTTGTCCCATCCATAAAAGAGGGGCAATAATGCCTCTTCTGCCTCCCTCTCTCGAAAGATTGTTTAAGGTGTTAATAATGATTATTCCGTGTGTCTGCATTTAGTGCAAATTACCAGATTCATTCATTCAACCAACGAGTTTTGGGAATGCAAAGGGGACCAAGGTGCTGCCTCTGTGCCGTCCAGCAAGAACAACAAGGGTTTAACCCAGGGGATGGCAAACTCTACTCAAGGGCCAGGTCTAGCCCGCTGCCCATTTTTTGCATAGCACGGGAGCTGAGAATGATTTTTACATTTTTAAGTGGTTAGGAGAGAAAAGAAAAACATTTCGTAATGTGTGAAAATTAAATGAAATTCAAATTTCAGAGTGCATAAATAAAGTTTTATTGGAACATGGCCATGCTCGTTTGTTTGTGTATTGCCTATGGTTGCTTCCATGCTTCGCCAGCGGAGCTGAGTATTTGCAACAGAGACTGAAATATTTACTGCCAGGTCCTGCACAGTAAAAGTTTGCCAATCTCTGAAACAAAGCCGTGAGTGAGATTATCAGTGTTAATGGAACACGGAAGAGGGAACAATTATTCCTGTTTAATAAAGTTGGGGAAGGCATCCCAGGAGTGATTTTTTTTCTTCTGGACTTTAATGCTTAGCTGTGAACCCCGGGAAAGCGGCTGCCCTCACCCCAGGCCTCAGTTTCCTTATTTGCAGGATGAGTAGGTTGTCTTTGAACTAAGGGCTTGTCCCACTGATATGTCCTGCAATACTGCATGTGCCCCCAGGGCCAGTTCTTTGCAGGGGGGCTGGTGTGGGCATCCACCAAACCCCGCAAACACCTGAGCTATGCGAGGCATGCAAAGAGCACTAATTAGGACACTGGGACGAGGAGCAGTTTGGAATAATCTATCCAGGACACATTTCCTTGCACCAGGTCCCAGAGAGGGCTCAGGCTTCTGCATCCAAACTGGAGCTCCCTGGCAGGTTTCTCCCCCCGCAGAGGTGCCTGGTGGGTCCTGAATAATTTAGCAATCTGCACCAGCAGTGCAGATGGGCACCTCCCATTACTGCAGGCTCTGCACTTTGCTGCCTTACCTGGTAGGGCCAAGGGCCATTTCCACGTGGAACAAAAGAACAGCATCCCCCTTGTCTTCTCAGAGTTCCTCTCAGCACATTGTGCTCCAAGAGCCATTGCTCATAAGGGCTGGGATTTCTTGCCAGAGTACAGAGTTGGGCCTGGAGATCTAGTTCTAGTGCTTACTTGGCCACTAAAAATAGCTCTGTGATCTGGACAAGCCATTTCCTTTCTCCAGATGGCAGTTTCCTCATGAAGGGGATGGGGTGTGAGATTCGCAAGGTCCCTTCCAAGAGGCTGTGTCTTCTAGTCTAGTCCGGACTAGAAGCTCTTTGTTCTACATGTGAAAAAACAGAGGCCCAGAGACACACAGTTATTTCCCCAAGGTCACCCAGCCACTTCCTGAGAGGCAGAGTCAAGCCCAGCAGCTTCAGTTCCTAATGTTCCCATTCTAAGGCACTGCCCATACCCGGGTGTGTGGTATGTACAGATCCATGTCTATGTCTATGTGTGTCTATGTCTGTATCTGTATCTATGGGATTGGTTCTGTCTCGGGAGTACATGCCTTCTGTACTTAGGGTGGGAGTTGGATGCTAATACAAGGTGGGGATACTATTTTATCTTACAGTCAAGGGAACAGGTATATAACATTCCCATCAAGATCTAGGCTCTGTGTTACATGCTTTCAAAACCTTTCTGTTTAGCCTTCTGCCTCTCACTTTTCTCCTCTTAGGTACTTACTTCATTCATTTCATTTAATCCTCACAATAGCCCTGGAAGCAGTAAGGCAAGGATGTTAAAATCAGGCAGCTGGGACAAACCCCAGCTGTGGCTCTCATTAGACATGTGATGTGAGCAAAGGACTTCACCTTCTTGAGCCTTCAGAGGTCCTCACCTGTAAAACACCATCCCCACGCACCTGCCTGGCTTGTGAGGGCCGAGTGGGCTTGAGTGGGGAGCACAGCCATCACAGATGGTCCCTGCCTTCCCTGTCTCCTTTCATGGAGAGAAGGTCAGTCACAGGTGACGGGGCCTGGCTCTTTTCCTGCTAGTAGCTGGGTGGGCAGTTGATAGATGAGAAAATGACATGAATTTCAAATCACAAACCCTACATCTGTCACCGCCTGCTTGTTATAAATCAGGACTTTGGAGAGGGACTGTTCAAGGCTTCCCCCTACCTCTGCCACTGAGCAGTAGTGTGAAATGCACTTCATCTTCCTGAGCCTTAGTTTTCTCTCATGTGAAATGGGAAACATGATACCTGCTTCTCCACAGCGTTGCTGGGAAGATCAATGACATAATGCCCTGGGAAGCACCTGGTGAGCCACTGAGCTCCATGTGACACCATGGGTCACCGTCCACACGGTGCAGGCCCCACGCCCTGGGGCTCCTGGAAGGCTGAGTTTCCAGGGTTCATCTGCCTGTACATGCAGCCACAGTAGAGGGTTCCAGCTCAACAGCAGCCCAAACCTGGCCATCACCTTCCTGGGGGAGTTCCCTCTCTCCTCTCCCCAGCCCCAGCTGAGCAGCTGCTGGAGAAAAATGCAAAAGGTGTTCAGCACCTGGAGCTTCCATGACAACCAGTGAGGAATGCATCCCAGGGCATTGGAGATGGGCACTGGGTGGGATTGAAATTGAAAAGGAACTTCAGCCAGGGTGAACCGGGAGACAGATCTCTCCTGAGAATCCTGAGTCCTCAGAAACGGAAGAAGCTGGGATTTACCAAAAATATCAAATTCACTACTACAAGCCAAGCCTCCAAAAAGCCAGGCCTGTCTGACCCTGGTTTCGTCGCCAGTGCTCTGGGCTGTGGGATTGCCTGAGTTGCTTTCCAGGAAAACAGGCAGCCAGGGCTGCTTAGCCCCCTCTCCCTCTGGAGTTAGGGCTTCCACGCTCCTCCAGGCTCCACAGAGGAGGATGACTGTCCCCTTGACCTTGAAAGCAACTTGGTGGTGTGTGACAGACCCAGTCACCTTGCACTGAAAACAGACACCATTCTGCCTCCTGCATTCCCTGTTCACCTGAGGCAGGTGCGCTCCACCCTCCCTGAGGTCACTCTTTTGGCCAACAGAAAGGGGCACCTCCTCTCTGGCCTCAGCCAGAGGTTTATAGAGTCACAGGGGTGCCTGATTACACAGGCTCAGCGAGAGACAGTCTTCAAAAACACATATCCAAATGGCCAGCTCTGTTAACGAAGAGCACAGCCCACACTCCCACAGTGCATGTGGCCCGGGCACTTCAGCAGCACAGATTCCTCCCCATATCAGCCACAACAGGGTCAGCATGGGAGCAATGAGAGGCCAGGTGGAATGGGGTACTGATGAGCTGGATGGCCTTTTGCATGTCTGTTCACACTCATATGCTTTGCAGTCTGGTGCCACCACCCATCCAGATTTCCCTTCAAGCAACCTTAGGCCCATGTAAGCCAGCTGGCATCTGAAACCATTCTGCCCTGTGGCCTTGTAAACCCACATAATCAGAGCATAACAGGTACCGAGAAGGATCTCATCTTTTTTTTTTTTTTTTCTTTTGAGACAGAGTCTCACTCTGTTGCCCAGGCTAGAGTTCATGGCACAGTCATAGTTCACTGCAGCCTCAACCTCCTGGGTTCAAGCAATCCTCCCACCTTAACCTCCTGAGTAGCTGGGAATACAGGCATGCACCACCACACCTGGTTAATTTTTAAATTTTTTGTAGAGATGGGGTCTTCCTGTGTGGCCCAGGCTGGTCTTGAACTCCTGGGCTGAAGGGATCTTCCTACCTTGGCCACCCAAAGAGCTGGGATTACAGGCATGAGCTACAGCACCCAGCTCCCCAGAAGGGAGCTTTAAACTAAAGCCCTCATTTTAGAGGCAGGGAAACAGAGGCTCAGAAGCAGGAGAGCCTCTGTGTCCAAAGCTACACAGGACAGTCAAGAGGACTGGAACTAAGCGCAGATCTGTTCTCGAGGGCAGGTTCTCTTCATCCACAGCAGCACAGTTAATGCTCATAAATCAGAGGGAGTGGCACCGGAGCGGCAGAGGCTCCTACAACTCAGATTGTTCTCAGGCTCAGTTAACTGGGAAATGCCAGGGAATGCATTGGTTCCATTTCCTCACAGAGTTGCTCTAGGACTTCATTAAACGTGCCACTACGGTTGGGCGCAGTGGCTCACACCTGTAATCCCAGCACTTTGGGAGGCCGAGGCAGGCCCTGTCTCTACAAGAATAAAACATGAGCCGGGCACGGTGGCACGTGCCTGTAATCCCAGTTACTTGGGAGGGTGAGGCAGGAGAATCACTTGAACTCAGGAGGTGGAGGTTTCAGTGAGCCAAGAACACGCCATTGCACTCCAGCCTGGGCGACAGAGTGAGAATCCGTCTCAAATAAATAAATGAATAAATAATAAAGGTGCCATTACATTAAAGGGCCTGGGAAACTGCCTCGGCTAACACACAGTGGCAGAGTGGGAAGGGATCTGGTCACCACTGCATCCAGTATCCCTCAGGGCAGGCACTTCTTCCATAGTATCTCAGACCCAGCCTCAGGAAAGCTTCCTGGAGGAGGTGAAGCTTAAAGGATGAGTAGAGGCCGAGCACAGCAGCTCACATCTGTAATCCCACAGCTTTGGGAGGCTGAGGCAGGAGGATCACTTGAGCCCAGGAGTTGGAGACCAGCCCAGGCAACAAAGTGAGACTCTGTCTCTACAAGAAACAAACAAAAAAAATACCTGGGTTTGGTGGTGCATGCCTGTAGTCCTAACTACTCAGAGGCTGTGTTGGGAGAATTGTTCGAGCCTAGGAGTTTAAGGCCGCAATAAACTGTAATCCTGCCACCGCCCTCCAGCCTGGGAGACAGGGTGAGACCTTGTCTCAAAATAAATAAACAAACAAACAAGGGATGAGTGGGAATCAGACTGAGTTCTGGAGAGGGAGCGGCCTGAGCAAGGTGTGGAGCAAGGGAGCTCAGCAAATCCTAGGAACACAGGGAGGCTTGAGGAGGGGTGAGGCGCAGTGGTCGGCAGTGGGGAAGGGTCTGACTTCATCCTCAAGGCAGTGGAAAGCAACTGAAGGGTTTTAGGAAGGGAAGTGACAACTATCACATTTGTGTTTGAAAAAAAAAAGGGGGGGGGGTTCTCACTGCAAGATAAAGACCAGATTCGAAGGGCAAGACTAGAGGAGGCAGGGATGAAATGGAGACTCCAGCAGCAGTGAGGACGGTGAGTTCACTGGAGTTAGCCTTAAAAGTTCTTCCTGAAAAATCTGGTGATGGTGCCCGGTACAGAACCATAAAGTACGTTTTTTCCATCTGTGTCTTTAAGTCCTGTGTAGGGCAGTATTGACATCTGGGTTTAAAGTGCTAACATTCAACCACATCAGCTGTAGTCCAGGTGTCCTTCAATGCAGATCTTCTCAAGAATGAAGTGACACATGTGACTGGCAAGAAGACAATTTTTTTAAAAGAGACAAATGGTTTGACTATGACTTCCTCTGCCTAAAGCAGATATTGTAGTTAAGTGCAACAGCTCAAGAACTTGGTAAAACACCATGATTTCCAGACATTGCTCCATGTCGATGGACAGGCACTGGTTCCCTTGCATTGTGTGCTATCCTGAATCAGAGGAGACTTGCTGACTGGATCCGTCACACGCCTGTCCCTTCCCAAGGCTTCATAGGGTAGACAAGCTGTGGAAGGGCCTTCCCTTCCCACTGGCACTATGTAACCTGAGATCAGCAGGGAAACAGTCTCCTCTCCAGAGTACGGTCAATGGTAGAAACCAAAGCAGTTCTTGCAAATGGCATTACAATGAATTGGCCAAATCTCTATGCCGCAGGAGAATCTATTGTCTCCATAAATTCAGTGCAACTCTACGGATGTTTCAGACTTTGAAATTTGCCTGACTGGGCTGTTTCTGATTCTTCACTCTGAGTTTCAGATCAGGTTCATATTTCTCCAAAGTCTTTACTAATTCATTTAAGAAACTGGCAGTAATACTAGTTGAGTACTACCAACCTTGGCATTTGACCTGATGGCCATCTCCAGAAAGGCTAACGCTGTATTTAAATTAATAAATACAAGGTGAGAATTTAGCCAAGTGGGACCGGACGTTCATCTTTTAAGTCTTGTTCAGGATTAAAGAGGAAAACTCCAAGGGCCACATTTTTTAAGTCTTCATCTATTTACCCACTCAGGGCTCAGGTGCAGACATGTGTTTCTCTCTGCCAGCCACCCCCAGGTCCATAGCCTGCTAATGCTCGTGTCTTGGATTTTATGGGCAGCCCCAAGGTGAGTATGGGTGGAAGCTGAGGCATTGCCGTGCCATTTATGAAGTGCTTATATGCCAGGTACTTCCCATATATGAAGTCATTCAATCCTCCCAACAGCCCTGCATAGCTGTGGGGTGGGTAGTATTCTCTCCACCTTACAAATGACAAAACTGAGACTCAGGGAGCTCTACTGAGCAACTTGCTCAAAGTCAGCTAGTAAACACCTGACTCCATCTCACTCCACAGGTCACAGCTCTTCATTACTGCTTCGATTTCACCAAGATGACCTCCTGATGCACACTAAAGCTCTGCTGATGCTCTGGCCCCCTTGCCCAAGGGTATACTGGAATCATATGGGAGAGGGGAGCCCAACCTCATCTAGGACACTGGAGGCAATGTTCCAACTGCGTTCTGACGGAGGACTTGACATTAATGTTGGAGGCCACAGGAAGGTCTAAAAGCAAGTGAAGGCATACGTTTCCAAGTATCAGTGTACAGCCCAGTGCAGGACGCAGGAAAGAGCAATAAGACAGGAGAGGCAGCTAGGGAGTAGATTCAGGGGTTGGAAGGGAGGAAGCCTGGTTAATCAGCCTGGACTTCATTCTAAGGGCAATTAGGAAGCCACTGAAGGATTGAAAGAAGGGAGTGTCAGGATCTGATTTGCATTTTTGGAAGATCCCCCTGGCTGCAGAAGGGAGTATTAAGCCCAACACACACGCATTTTCAAGTTGGTTTACAATGGAAGGCTTCACATGCCAAGACCCAACTGCCCAGGCTCTTGGGGGCCATGCTTCAGCTCCACTTTGAGCCAGTACATTCCGTTACCTACTTGGCTCTAGTCCACAGCACCTTGGAATCCCTTACTGAGGGTGTGGCGTCAGCTATAAATTCCAGATTTCATCTCCAGAAGACACACAGGCAGAGAAAGCCCTGCTACCCTCTCAGACAGGTGGGGCGTCCTCTGCTTCTTCTTTCTGTGTCTTGATAACTTGTTTATTTTTAACATTTTTTTTTCTTTTCTTCTTTTCTTTCTTTTCTTTTTTTTTTTTTTTTTTTTTTTAGAGACAGAGTCTCACTCTGTCACCCAAGCTAGAGTGCAGTGGCACCATCATAGCTCACTGCAGCCTCAAACTCCCCTGGGCTCAAGTGAATCTCCTGCCTCAGCCTCCTGAGTAGGTGGGACTACAGGCATGCCACCACACCTGGCTAATTTTCTTAGGTTTTGTAGAGACAGGGTCTCGCTATGCTGCCCAGACTGGTCTTGAGCTCCTGGCCTCAAGCAGTTCTCTTGCCTCAGCCTCCCAAAGTGCTGGGATTACAGGCATGAGCCACTGCGCCCAGTTTATTTTGAACAATTATTAAAAATACAGAAAAGGATAAAAAAGAAAATTTAATCACCCAGAAACACACATGACAAAGATGACCACTGCTCACACAGTATGTATTTCTCTGTCTGATGACATGTTACTTGGCTACTCTGGCCCTGAGTCTTCCTGGTCTACTCCACGTATATTATGTATACAAGTGTAGATTGTGTCAATTTCAAGTGAACATAACACAACAACTGAAGCATATTCCTATTTTCAATTAAAAGAATATTCTTAAAAACATTTTAAGCATGTTTTTGGTGAATGTAAAACATGTCACCACATGGGTGATGGCACCAAAGTCCTGTCTTTAAGAGTGGCTGGGTCCTGCTCCCTGAGCCCACCTCCAGCCGGTGGGGCTGGCTTCTGGGTGGGACCATCAGCATCCTTAGCTGTCCTAACACCCTGTCAGCTTGGTCATGTGTGTGTCGTACTTAAAGCCAATGCTTAGAAGCTCTGTGTTCCAGGGCCTAGCTGGAGGGCATAGACTTGAACTGACTGCCAGCTCCTCCCACTGCAAGCCCGGCAGCTGCCCCTGCTGTTGAAGATGTTTTCTATGAGCTCTCTCCCTCTAGCAGGTGAGAGCCCCAGGAAGCCACCTATGCCACATGCCAAGAACTCACCATCTTCCTCCTAACCCGTCCCCTTCCTCTTTCCCAAGCTCAATGGAAGGCACCAACTAACAAACTGCCCAAACGCCAAATCAAGAAGGGTCCCCTGTTGGCATCTGACCATATGTACACACACATACACACACTTACATATGTACATTTGTATGCAAATGTGATATCGCACATTGGAAACTACTCAGACCACCCGACTTCTTAGGGGCAGGCGACAGAACCACGGGGATGCAAGAGCCGGGAGAGAGCTGTGGAGCAAGAGCCAGCCGGGCTCATCCGTTCACACCCTGCTCGTCGTATCATCTCCGT